GTTAGTATTCTGTAAGAGATAAAGGGATAGTAGTGAGGTTATATGAGATGATATAGGTTGTCTTGTATTTGGGTTTTCTGGTGGTTAGTTGAAGGCCTGATTATGTTCACGTTCACAGAGGCTCAACTGGAACGGTTTATATTGCTAACCTAGCACAGAGCCGTGGAAAACATATATCCCCTCTGTATTTATTTCCCTTTCTTTCTATGACAGTGTGTGTTTCTTTCTGTGTTTTGCTCGAGAGAGAATCAAGTTCCTTCGACTTTTTGAAACACGTCACTGCACATCGGAAACCAAAGTTCACTAATCTAATATCTCCCAATTAGGCAACAGACAGGTGGAGGAAATTCAGACGTAGGATCTCCTCTCCAGCTTTCATTCTCTTCTTTCTTCTTTTTTCTTTCGACGGAGGATCCAGAAGCGTTATGACTTGAATCCTCGGTCGGTTTTGCTTGAGAGTGGAAACTCCGATTCCTTATGATGAGAAACTTCAAAGTAAGGTACAGTGGACGTATTTATGCTAAAAGGAACTATGAGCATAGGATTTACGAGCAAAATAGTTCTTTTTAGCATTATGTCCAAATATCGATGGCGATCAAAAAAAACGAGGCGAATCCAAGAAAAAATCCTGTAAGATGTGTCATAAGAAGAGGGTGGGGAATAAAGATCTTGATTAACTTCTGAAATATCAAGTTTGCAAATTCGACGTCCACGATGCAACAACCTCCACTGAAAAGATAAACCTAGCAGCAGGCTGATTATTGAAATTAATAGACAAGGTTATAGACATAATAAAATTGGAGTGATTCTACTGGTTGAAACAGGTGTTATTATAGACAAATGGGAAATGATGGTGTAACTCTGGGAATCTCTCGTAGGTAGCCGTTACTCGGACCGCGTTTAGTACACTAAAAAATAGATTGGTAGCATTTACCATTCCATTACGCTGTATTTCACACAGCGTGAAGGAACGGTGAATTCTATCAATCTTCAAGTCAATTTTGCCAGAGGAACGGTTACCTGTGCCAGTGTATAGTAACTTTTATTTTTTCTGGCAGAATTGACTCTGAATTGACGCTGTATGAAATATATCGTGAACGTATGGTAAATTCTACCAATCTTTTTTTTCAGTGTAGGAAGGAACCAAGCCACATCAGCTGTTGCCAAATTAAACTGGGCAATTTAATATTTCACGAGAGAACATTTGTGCGGATTCCTTTGACAATTCTAAGGAAATTGCTTCGTACTATGCAGAAAATTCACCAAAATTTGCACAAAAATCCGCAAAACCGTTTTCATGCAAAAACTTGAATCGTCCGATTAAATTTGGCAATATATAGCTAATAGGGCTTGGTTCCTCTCTGAATAAGGAGGTCCAGTTGGACTACAATTTGCAATTTGGAACTTTATATTCTAGCATGCTTTAAGAACAACGTTTGTGCCATTAGTTTCTCTATGCATGTAAGTGCTTCTCTAGAGGAGCCAGAATTTATAGTTCCAAATTGCAAAATGCAGTCCAGTTATAGTGCACCTAAAATGTACACCTATGTCTATACTATATGGACTGCATTTTGCAATTTGGAACTATAGATTCTGGCCCTGTTTAAAAACAACGTATGTGCCATTGGTATCCTTATGCACATACGTGTTTTTTCAGATGAGCCAGAATCTATAGTTCCAAATTGCAAAATGCAGTCCATATGTATACCCATGCTACACCTATACTGCTGTGCCAAGGAAGAGCGCCGTATGAACATTCGAGAATTGCCAAATTTGCCTTGACAAAACATGAATTTTTGACAACTTTCATGAACATTTTTCTTTGAAATTTTCAGATATTTTAGATTAAATTGCGCACCAAATTGTCTGAAAATTTTGGAAAATAATATTAAAAATTTGCCCAGTCAATTCGAATTATTTCGGAGGAAAATTGGCAACGTCTAAAGGCTCATACGGCGTTTTTCCTTATTTCCTTTGTCAACTGCAACCTCCCGCTTCCACCAACACGGTAGTTCCATTTTCCACTCGTCCTCTTCATCTATCGCTTTGTCTATCCGAATCAATAATCGGCTGGCAGGTGCAATCCGATCCCGATTTCATATCCAAGACGTTGGCGTCTCCGCGAGGTGAAGGGTTCCCGACCAGAAAACCGAGGGGGCTGTAACAAAGGAATATTGCGCCGCCCGAGGCCTCCCCGAGGAAACAGAGGGGGGAGGGGGGGGGCGTGCGAGCGGAAATATTGCGAAACTGCTCGTTCATGGCTCCACATCAAAGTGTCAAAATTATTCCTCCACTTCAAAGTTCCGACCGATCAATTAAGCACCAGTTTAGTCGCTCCCCGATGGCGCTTCACCCTCCTCCGAGACGGAACTTCAACCCACTCTCGCCGTTTCGGCTAGGAATACTAGGGGGCGCCGTGCCCCTGGCCGCTACGCGGCCCGACTCCTGACGTAAGACACTTTTTGGTGCTCCTTCCGTATTCATTTTTGGGGGGAAACACTCTTCAATCTCCTGTTATCGGTAAAATAAGTAGTTATTCACTTAAAAAAAAAAAACACACATTGGATCTAGAGTCCAGACTCTTGAAAACATTGACAAGAAAGAATACTCTTGATTCAATCGGATTTTTGCTTGAATTAAAACGAAATCAACTTAAATTAAGAGGCTTGGTTCTTGATATAAGCTACATTCTGATTGAATCAAGAGTACTTTTTCTTGTCGATGTTTTTAAGAGTCTCGACTCTAGATCCAATCTGATTTTTTTTTCCAGTGTTTGTAGAATAAAATACATTTTCCTGGCAGAGGGTCACAGTGTCGCATGTTCAGCCAGGTAATCTCATTCACGGGAAAAATGAATTAATTGCTGATTTATCAATAAATTGATAAACAAGTATGTCCTACACGTTTCAAGTGTGCATTTTACAATACGGGGAAGCTAATTTAACCACAGGGGTGGTTCAATTAGCATTTTTTATTGTATAATCCACATCGAAACATGTTGGACACTTTTTCAACTACAAAATTGTTAAATCAGCAATTTTATTGCTATTCGTGTTTTGTGCTTGCACACCGACCTGGTGGATTTCACACAGCATGTAATGGATGCTGTGCAACAACTACCAACATAACACGTACTATAATGCGTGCAGCACATTTGGTTACAGTTCAACATAAACTGAACAGCTTTCTAATTAAAGCGCAGATCGCGACTGGAAAGTTTGTAACGTTCGAATAAGGTTACGTTCTTTTGCGGAGGGAGCGGCGATTTCGGGGCACCGCACTGCGATAAAGAGGGCGGGCCCGTTCAGTTCTTTGTATTGAGTGACGCAACACGTAACGTTCAGGCGACATTCACGTAACGTTTTCTAAGTAAGCGCTCAATAGTCTGCGAACATGATTGACGTCCCTATAAAAAGCTGAGTAAGGCCGTTGACTCTCCCATCAAGCTGACCCGGAAACACTTTCCAACAATGCGGTTGCCGCTTGCGTGAAAAATTAGAAATAAAATAATGTGGCCACGGCGGGCGTTAGAAAAGGATTGCTAAATGTTTCCGATCAACTGTCGTTGATAATTTTAGTATGTAGAGCACCGGGATGTAAATGGATTTGCTCTGTGTTAAGGTGAAGTTCTGTCTTGTGGAAAAAAGGGATTCAGCTTGGACATTTCGACACCTCCCGACCAAAGTATCATAAGAGCCATGCGACGTTCAACAATTTCCGTCGTCATTTTATTTTTTTACAAAGATTTTGCTCAACGAAGATATCCGAAAATGTCACTGAATTTTCTTCGTGCTACGTAAATTCGGTGAAATTTTCAGTGAAAAAGTCACTTTTTTCAACTAACAATCCCTCTGTAAAAAAATAAAATGGCGGCGGAAATTATGAAACGTCGAACGGCGCTTGTGAATTTTTGTCGAAAGGTGACGATTTGATATTCGTAATATCGGTCCGAGAAAAAAGTAATAGGTCCGTTGAATCAGGGCCCTTAAAAAGGCGGCAATCCAATTTGTTTAGTTTTTTCTTGAATATTTTACTCTCTTTTTACGTGAAATTTCCGCGTTTTCCGGAAGAAGGAACGTAACTCTACTCCAAGGTTGTAAAATTCGCCTTTTTCAAGAATGTGGCAGTGCGATTTTTGTCCAAAATTTTTCTGGGTTTTCAATGAAATTTAAAGGAAAACCAGTAGAATATTTAGTATGACATGCCCAAGATTCCTTTTGTAAAAATTCAATTTTTGAGAGGAAATGTGGGAACATTGAAATAGAGTTACGTTCTATCGTGAGGAAAATGACGATTTGCACTTCTGTGTACATGTTACATGGGGATTCAAGAAGCGGATTTGGTCGGGTGGTATGGTGAAAGCGCAACTGGAGGACATCTTTTTTCATTAAAAAATGAAAAAAAAAGAAAAACTATTTTTGAAAAATGGACTTTTTAAAAGTGCTGATTCAGTTCCTAATCACAAAATCGTTTGATCAAAGTTTTGATGATTTAAGTATATGGAGTATTAAAAAATTAATAAGATCAGTTCAAATACTAAGTTTCACGTTCAAAATGACCGGAGGTATCAGTGGTATCACCTTCCAAATATACGGAGTGCCTACAACTTCATCCACCGCGATGGTGCATACAATGGTTTCCCTACGAGTGGCGTGGCGTGCTGTGCGATGTATCGACTGTTCTGCCATCTAAACCTATGGAAAAGGATCGATAAACAGAGTGTTCGCAGCGAACACCTTGATAATCGATTCTTTACCATAGCTTCAAATGGGAAAATATCGGTAATCGATCATCACGCCTTGCCACTGTTCCCTACAGGTGTCTCGGGTCTCTTTTGTTTTCATAGGTGAGACTGATTCTCTCACTTCTGTCAAGAATCCGAAGTCGATGCAAATTATCGATGCAGCTATGAAGTCGGAAGCCTCTCATCTCGATCACGGCGTTTAAAACAACTTAAACTATTACAATGATTAGGATAAAGCTAATTTTAATCAACTGACCTGGTTTTTTTCGCAACTCGAGGTAGCGTTTCATGGTGATGTATGCGCCGAGGATGCTTTGGACGGTACATGTGAAGAATCCCCAGTTGGTGAGGTAGATGAACCATTTGAAGTACTGGATTTTGTGTCTCTCCCTGTCTTCGGGCCGGTAGAAAGATAGAATGCATATCACCACGAAGAGACAAGCCACGCATTGTCGATAAATGAGGTAAAACGGATTTACTCCTTTCTTCCTCTGCCACTAGAATCAAAAAATGAAAGAAAAAAGTATTAAAATTGATCAAGTTAATAATCGACGCATGTATCTATCTGTCACAGGCAATTGGCAATCGCCGGCAATTTACAAGCCAGTGGTGAATAAATATAGAAAATCATAAAATTTAAAACTAAAAGAACAAGATTAGAGTGCTGATTATGTTGCCTATAATGTGAATAGACACTTTGCCATCCTTAAAACCATGGCAGACATATGCCCACTCAGAAGAGCGTGTAATGAACCTCGTGACATTAGTTGGGTTGAGATCGGATAGGCAACTAAACTAACATTGTGACAAAGCGTAGAGTGTCACAAAAAGTGAAGGCGCTTCAAGCCGAGCTCGAACTTTCGAAGACCATAACCCTTAAAAATTGCATGATGCCGCGCATTATTGCGATTTATATTGAAACAACGTGTGAACCGCTCGCAAATTGCTGATTGCTAATTGCCTGCGACATGCCCACGGGAAAAGGAGCCTTAGCCCACAGAATTGCAGTAGAATATGCATACTGATGGCCAAAGTGCGAAACCACGTGTCTTCATTGCAGCTACTGTTACAAAATGTCCGTCTGTTTTAAATTTTTTCGAGAAGAAACAAGTTGATTTTATGGCTAAAAATTCGTACATAATGTTTTTCTCAAAGAGAATAAGAATCAAGAAAGTTTTCAAGAAATTACGCTGCTAGTTTTCATCGAAAAAATAAACTATGATAGGCAGTCTGCAACGTTGCAAACGGAAATCCATGGTTATTCTCTTTGGCCATCGATATAATAAAGATTTAATGGGCATTACTCTTCCTCAAAACAAAAACTGAAAATTTCACACAAAGTACAAAATTGTTGTCAAAATACTGACACAAATACTATTGAAAAACATTTAAAATTATTTTGACTAGATTCTTAGAACATGTTACCAGGGCCGGATTAAGGGGGTGGCCACATGGGCCGCGGCCCATGGCGGCAAATCTATAGGGGGCGGCAAATTTTGACTTTTTTTTAAATGTAGGTATAGAAAATTCGAATTTAGAAAAAATAATTACAAACGAGAAAAGGCGACAAAATCTCTAATTTTCTGAGAGTATGGTAATTTCTACTTTTGTCGATATTAGTCGATTTAAGAAAGAAACCAAACACGCAATTTGTCCTGGAACGGCGCGACTTAGAGAGAAACAATGACGAGGACTTGAGATGAAAAGGAGAAGCCCTCGGCGCGGCGGTCGGCATGTAACACATATTAGCCCCTACATGACTGCACAAATACTTCACGCATTGCATCAAACACAGTGCGGTCATCGCGGTCAGCGTGAAACGGATAGCGCCTACAAGACTGCGTGAATACTTCACGCATTGCGTCAAACACAATGCGTTCAGCAGCGGTCGGCGCGGCGTGAAACTCATAGCGCCTACAAGACTGTCGGAATACTTCACGCATTGCGCCAAACACGGCGCGGTCTGCGCGGCGCGGCGGCGGAAGTTAAAATCATTAATCCACATTTATGTTTGTTCTTTCATAATTTTTTCGTTCATTTCTTGTGAATGGAAGACCTTGTCCACAAAGAGATAGGTTTACAAGACTTAACTTTCGCGCAAAGTTTCGTGAACTTTTGCTAGTAGTGTTGACAGGGCTTTCCCAAAAAATGTGTTCAACACAAGTAAACGCGTCTTATGCACTCCTCCCCCGCTGGCACGTTCATTTGATGGTTTTTATTGATGTTTCAAAACGAATGAGATGGGGGCGGCAAAATACAGACGGCCCACGGGCGGCAAGTAGGTAAATCCGGCCCTGCATGTTACCAGGAAGAGTTCATGAAATGTTTTGAATTTTTTTTTACACGTTTCTGTAAGATCTAAAAAGAAAAATGGAATAGAAGAATGAAGAGAAATGTATATTGTTCCATCTTCTTCTTCAATGCTATTTTTTTTTACGTTTCTCACAGAAATTTGTAAGAAAAATTTCAAAATATTTCATAAACTCTTCCTTGTAACATATTTTAAGAATCTCTTCAAAATAATTTTAAATGTTTTTCACTTCATTCATATGGCAGTTTCTAACGAGGAAAAGATAGAATGAGCATCGTAAACCTACATTTTTCCTTTATGTGTTTGGACAAGCAATACAATTCATCTTCTGTCGACAGGGGAGGGGGGAGGAGGGTTGAATACAACGTTTAAACTCCGTTTCCTTAAAGATTTTTCTCATCGTTATCCTCGAGACGTCAGTTTATTAAATACAGTGCATTGCGCTTGCACTTCATAACGACAGCGTTGCCAGTTTCAAAATTATAAACGTCCTATTTTCTACCGGTCTCAAATAACCAGCTCCAGGAATCCTGAATAGCTTGGGAGGTTATAATCCGTTGCCAATTATATTCGTAAAAGTCGCTTACTTTTTATCACTAACCAAAACACACCGGGCGATATTATACCACACGTAGTCAGACTAAAAAAATTGCCTAATTTTCTCTGATATTTTATTGAATACCAGAAAACCAAACATAATAAAATTTCGAGACTCTGCGCAAGTTTCTATTAGATTATGAAGAATGATTTCAAAGGATTTCACCTCGGAATGCTGATTAATTTCCAGAACTATTTAAAATTGGCTGACTGTTAATAATTTACCACCCCTAATCACTATAGATACATATTTTCTCACGTTGTTTTATCTAGATACTTAAATATTCAATAACATTGAATAGAAAGATACATTTTATCTCAGATAATATCGAGGGCATGTATATTTTACGAGTTATTTAAATCTCGTTTTTTTTTAAAGTTTCTTGTCAAAAAAATAAAATTTCAGATGAAATTAGATCTTGTGTATAATGTAGCCATGCTGATTCTCATTAAGAACGTCTATTTCTCAGCATGAATATCGATGGCCGAAGTGCGAGAGCACGTACCTCCATTGCGGCGTTTCAGCATTTCCGCTATACTAATTGGACGTATTTCTATCAAACGGAACTATGTGCATTATGACGTGAGCCCTGTTATGCGTGAATTCTTATAGGTCTCAGGGTTCATGTCTTAATGCACATAGTTCCGGTTGGTAGAAATACGTCCAATTTATCTTTTCGAAGATGAACATGCGAACTTTATGGGTTGAAATTTTTACAGAATAATCTGCTGACAGAGAAAAACATCAAGGAAGTTTCCAAGACGTTACGCAGACTAGTTTTGGGAGGAAAGAAGAAAGTACGATAGGAAGTCTGATATGTTTCAGTCGGAGCCCAGAGATACCTGATTTTGCACCTTGGCTGTCGAGATGCTTATTTTTACGCACGAAGTGACAACTCTGAAAACGTCTAACGTAGCCGCGTGGCGGCACGCGAGACACTCAGCGCTGCGATATTTCATTACAATTTTCCGCGAGTGGTAATTGGTAATTTATTGTTTCTGGTCGGAATTTGCGCAATTATTCAGTTGCAGTTGTTTCGCGAAACTCGTTATCGACGCTGATTTGTCTACGCTTGCGCGCTGTCATCGTGCGAATCAAAACAAATATTTTCACCAATGTAGCCTGGCGGAGTACTTTCAGTTCTTTGGGCAAACAGGCAATTTTCAGTCAGCTCTTTATGAATGGCTTCGTTCTACCACCACTTAGATTTTCGGGAACTAAAGCTTTAATGTTAAAATCGAAAGTTCTCCGATTGATCTGGAACCCGGTGAGTCCCGTGTAGAATGACTCGAGGAGTCCGACTTTCTGGGCAAAAACAACCGTAACATGCTTACCTAGATTTTATGACCGATCAGGGTCCAATGATACCATTTCATTTTAGGGGACAATTAATTGCCCTCCTAGCCCCGTAATAGCGTATAAACCTATGCTGCCGTGCTAAGGAAAAACGCCGTAAGAGCCTTCAGGCGTTGCCGAAAGTTTTCTTTATTTTTGAGTCTTAATATTTCGCAATGTCATTGCTTGTGCGGTTGGTCAGCAATGACCAGTGACCCAGTATTGTTGGAAAAGAATGGGTGTGTGCATATCACATTCACAGAACTCTGAGCAATGCAAAATGATTCCCATTCTGCCTCGCTAAGGGAAAATTCCCGATGAGTTATTGTCTTGTCGAGGAGTTAATTTTAGTAATCTTCGTCGTGTGTGTTTTACGTGAAATTTGAATTAAGAAACTTGTATCAGAATGCTGAAATTTGCACCTTGTCTACCAGTCCATTGAGTATGATGTAATCTCAAAAATGAAGAATATGTATGCCAAGCATTAATGGACCACCAGACAAGGTACTAATTTAAGTATTCTGATACATGTTTCTTAACCAATATTTATATTGAACATTACTGGAATCAACTCCAAACTAAGATATTAACGTTTTTATTTTACAATGGCCTCGGGAAATTTAAATTGCCCGGTCACGAGAAACATAATACTCGACGTGAGTCAAATCACGCTTTCCAAAGGTTTCGGCAGACGTCTCAATTTAGCATTGTTCCTTTCCCACCCTTCATGAGCCAAAGCGTCAAGATTGATATTGTCATACTTCTGTATATCATAAACTGGTAACGGTAACGTTTAGTGTGCGATTTGATTCACGTGGACCATTGAGTTTTCATGAGCGGAAGGTTTGAAATCACGCGTCAAAAAACATTCATTGGAAAAAAAAAATTCCGCTTGGATCCAGAGTCCGGACTCATAAAAACATTGACAAGAAAAAATACTCTTGATTCCATTGGACTTTTCGCTTGAATTGATATGAAAACCGCCTAAATCAAGAGACGACTCTTCGGCTCAATCGGCTCTTCGATTCAAGAAAAAATCGGATTGAATCAAGAGTATTTTTTCTTGTCAATGTTATTAAGGGTCTGGACTCTAGATCCAAGCAACTTTTTTCCCAGTGTTAAATATATTAGTCAGGAGTGAATCTCAGGGATCTTCGTCGCAAGAATCATGTTTTTAGTGAAATTTTGGTGAAGAAACATGTAACAGAATGCTTAACTTCATACCTTGTCTACTGGTCCGTGTAGCAAAATCA